ACCTATTTGCCGCTGCTGTGGCTTGTTCGGCATGGCCCATTCACTGCCATGCTTGCCGTGACCTGTTGGCCACGGCCACGGCCCATTCGACGTGGCCCATTCGACAGCACCGATCCCCGCCACCTGGAACCAGCCAAAAATGTGACACGCCTGACTGGCTAACTGTGGCATCTATTAATAATCCATTGTGATGGGCAGACAGACTGTTATCAGGAAGATGGGAGATGTGGTACAGCTAATATGATACTATGAGATAGAAAGAAAGATAAAGGAAATGGTTATCTTTTGAAAGCTGATGAGAATTGTTCAGGATGGGAAACATCTATAGATATTTTTATTTATTTTTTTAGGTTTTTTAAAATTAGCCTGTATTACTTTGTAAGTAACTCAAAGCATCAAACATGTCTAATACTCCTTTTCCATCCAATAACAGTTCTGTGAGATGGGTAGAGTTCAGTGAGAGAGTTACTGGCCAAAAATCACTCTGTTGACTTTTCTACCTAAAGTGGGACTAGAACTCACAGGTTCATGGATTTTAGGCCAGTTCTAAGCTCTAATTCATAGTAGCACAATTCAGGATTATTTATGAAAAAATCCTTCTGAATAGCCTCCAATCTTGCCCATATTCTTTGCCCAGTCCAAAGGGAAAGATTCACATCATATACATTCAATGTGCTTTTTTTCATTATAATTAGAAGAGAGATTTAACAGTAGTCTACTGAAAGGTCTATGATCCTTACCTGCTTGGGGAAATGAATCAATTGTCTATTGCCTTCTCTACGGTACACTTTATTTAATCCGCACAAGGACTTAATTATGCATTGGCTACACATCCACTATTTATAAGAATGCCTTATCCATTTCCTTTTGACAGTTAAGTCAATGACTTTAAGGGAAGTAACCAAATTTTGTATAATTGCAACTAGAGTTGATATATAGAACAAAACATACGTATACTACTGCATGACGTTTTAATGGCATTATTTTATGGTTAGTTTTTTTTAAAGAAAAAATGTGTAATTATGAGATAATTGTGTGCTTTTAAGATGACCCTGATAGGGATCGGTTATCCCTAAATAGCTGGCAAATTTTAGGAAAAATGAAAGGTCTCTGTAATGAGAAGGATTAGGAAACATTTGACAGCAGATGTTGATAGTAGCTGTAAAAATACCTGAGTTGTGCAGGGACCACTTCTTCACTGGGTTAGTGATTTGGATTGTTCCTCCTTGGATGCCTATATTTTGACTTTTATCATGTTTATTACTTTTTGCTTATTTTATTTTAATTCTGTTCACTGCCCAAAATCACTCTTTGAGATAACAGTCATTTTGACTTTTATCATGTTTATTACTTTTTGCTTATTTTATTTTAATTCTGTTCACTGCCCAAAATCACTCGTTGAGATAACAGTCATTTTGACTTTTATCATGTTTATTACTTTTTGCTTATTTTATTTTAATTCTGTTCACTGCCAAAAATCACTCGTTGAGATAACAGTCATTTTGACTTTTATCATGTTTATTACTTTTTGCTTATTTTATTTTAATTCTGTTCACTGCCAAAAATCACTCGTTGANTTTTTTTAAAAAAAATCATATTAGTGGTTCAGGGGATTTAAAATTATGAATTTAGTGGTCCCGGAGGTCCCAAAAGTTGGTGACCCCTGTTTGAGGAGACCCTCTTGGAAAACCAAGAACAAAAGACACTGCGCTTCTATTCAACACACAGTTTCAAACCCTACAGGTAAGACTTATGTTTGAAGTTACAAGAGCACGGAAAAAAAAATGTGATTTATAATCCTTGCAGCAACCACCTCCCTACCCCACTCCAATCCTGGCGATCAAAATTTGGGCATTTGGCAACATGCCCCCAACCAAGAGAAAGCTTGCCTGCTCCCCTTCCTCTTCCCTTGCCAAGAACGCCCGAGTAACCCTTGCCAAGAACGTTTTGAGTAAAACCCACGGCAGTGGCTGCCTCTTTAAGGCGATTTATACAGATTGGGGTGGACACACGGAGGAGGGATGGGAGTGGAAAAAACCATGACCTTCTATGGTGGCATGTGTGAGGTGTGTGTGCGTTGCATATGTGTATGTGTGTGTTCCTTCGGAAATGAACAATGAGCACAGCCGACTCGCACCTTCACAAGAAAGGGGGGGTGGGGGGAGAAAGCCAGCGGGGGGAGAATCCGGATTTGCATCCACGAAGACCCGCGAGCGAGCGGAGGGAAGGAGAAGTCATTTCGAAGGAGAAAATCCAAAACCCCGATTTTTTGCAGGAGCCACTGAGAATAAAACGAAAAAGGCTCTTTTAAAATGTACTTCATTAGCTAGGCTGCTGGGGAGGAGAGAGAAATATAAAAGTGGTTGTCTTTTTTTTAAAAAAGGAAAGGTATTTTGTGTTATTATCTTTATAGGGCTAGGAAACCTGGACGGGCAACTCAAAAATTATGTTTTCTTTCTGCACCAAATTGCAACTCCCCAGGAAGAGATCAAAAGAGGCTGCATATTCTTACCCCCCACCCCCAGTATAAACAAAAGGAGATGATGTAACCACGGATGCCAGTCCGTTGCAATAATCTCACCGTCAGATCTGATTAGTGGTTTTACTTACGGATTTTCAGTCAAACGGGTTATACAATTGCCGGGCCACCAAAGGAGGTTGGCCTAGAAACCTCGAGTCTCTCAGCAAGGGACGGGTTGGGGAGGGGAGGGGGGGAGGGAATAAGCCCCCTCTAAATAAGCAGTCCAGTTAGAGTGGGGGCGGAGGTGGGGTGGTAGAGCACCCCCCCATTTTGTATGCTTTCTAAGGTTCGACTTGCAAAGTTAGGTGAGTTGCGTTCGTATTTGTAACGGGTAAGGGGGGGGGGGAAAGTTATGTTGAGTTGTGTTCGTTTTTTGTACAGGGTGCAAAAGGGTAAGGAAATCAGCTCTCAGCCAACTTCCCCAGGAAGGGATCTTTGCAGGTGGCATTCGGGCCTTTTGGGGAAGTAGATTATAATACTTGTTGTGGCCGGCCAGCAGAGCTGGCAGCAGATTCTCACTGTGAGGAGGGTTGGGGAGGAACCTGGGCCAGTCCTGGAGTCTGGGGAAGGCTCTGAGGAGG